TTTAATATTACAAATTTAGAGAAATTCAATTTATTTTACTATGAGGCGTCAATTAAAATGGAACTTGATTATTCAACCCTACCCTGTTAATTTTCTAAAACAGATCTGAAATAATCTTTTTCAGATCTAAATTTCAGATCTGAAATTGGTTGTGAAATGTTTAAATAACGCTTGGATACTTTAAGGATTGGTTATTTCAGATCTAATTTCAGATCTGAAATTTTCTTTTTCTTGATTATTTCAGATCTGAAAAATCATTGATTTGGACTCAATTTTTGCTATTTTTAATTTTTTTAGCTTCTTCTAACTACTAGCAGGTACTCAGCATAGTCTCAAGTTGGAAACTGCCGAGGTATGTTTCCCCACGCATGAGATAAACATTGGAAACGCATGAAAAGTAGCGCATGAAAATCAAAAGTGTTACAGGTCTTCTAGCAGTTTTTGAAAACTTTTTAACACAGTTGAACAAGAAATTTAGTTCGAAAAAAACTGTTTGTGAAAACGTTCGGAAGTTTTTCAGACCGCTAGTTAAATTAAACATAATTGTGTATTGCAAAAACATCAAAAATTAAAAACTCCACTATTGCTCGAAATGCATAAATTATAATTTAACAAAGGATTTCTCAGATCTGATTTCAGATCTGAAATTTTGTTTTTCAAGGTTATTTCAGGTCTGAATTTTCCAATTCAGATCTAAATTTCAGATATGAAATTTGTAAATTCTGATCAAGATATGAATTAAAGAATTTCAAATCTGAGAATCAACCTTTGTAAAAAATAAAGAAATTCAGATCTTGCACAGAAAATCTCCTGGGTACGGGCAGTGTATTGCAACAGAGTGCTCGAGTTTTACCCAAAATTAAATTTGTCAGATGATTAGTCTCAAAGCTGAACTATTCTTGTAGCAGCCCAATGCCAGCTGAAGAGACGTGCTCAACAAAAAAGACCTAAGTTCAGCGTGAAAATACGCATTCTAGTCGACTTTTAAATATTGTTTTCGAACCTAACCTATAAATTGATAAACAAGAGTTTCAATTGACATATGCTGATTCAGTTTTTTTCGATGAAATAAGTTTTATTTTTGAAGTCCTTGTCTTTTTGATCGTATAAAAAAGTGGTTTACGAGTGCTCAAACACGTATTTTAGTTCAGACGCAAAATTATATGCAAATTTGCATTGTCATCTACATCTGCTGAAGCGCTTTAAGCTGCCTTAAGCTTTCAGTTATTTTGCAACACAGTTTCTCAAAAAAACTTCAGACTTTCATAAATCAAAGTATGCAACCGTATTGTGCGGGGTTTTCAGGGTAGTCTCAGAGGCTGCAAATTTGATCTCTGACTAGAGTTGCTCACATCTCAAATTGAAAATTTGAACTTTAAGGTATATTTCGCAATTTTTTGTTAATATCGCAATTATTTAACTCAAAACGGGCTGGTCAGTCATTTCATTTCAAAATTTTTTCTCAAAGGGAAAAAACCGCCTCATTCGCGCTCATATATTCGATAATTTAATTGACATCATCAAAAGCACTAAATTAAAAAATTTTCTCGCCCTTTTTTTAGATTAGAGACCCGTTTAGTTTCGTACGATGCCTCTATCAAATTTGTAACTCTCCGATCCTGATATTCAATAATTACTGACAAATTACGCGCGATATATTGCGTGCGATTAATGCGTAAGCGGAGATTTAATCCGTATTAGAAATCATTCCGTGTTGAATTGAAGTGTGCTCTTTGGTCAATTTATACTTTGCTATATGCAAAAATATATCACTTTTTTGAAAATTTCATAGGGGGTTTTACTTTAAATTATTCCAGAGAAAAAAAAGCAGTCGGAACATTCAAAGTTTTGCCCTGATACAAGCAGGCTTGTTATTTTCTAGCTTCAAGGAACTAACTTTGAACTCTGCAGCAAATTCTCTGATATGCAAAATATGTGGGTGTTGTAATTTATATTTGCTGATCTGATTTTTATACCAAAATTTTCAGTGAGGAAAAAAAGAGTAATTGATTCTCTTGCTATTTTTATAGTATTCAGTATACTTACCTACGATGAAAAATGACCCAAGGTTGCAATTTAGCCATTTGTTGAATTTTTTGAAATTCGATTGGGTTGTCGCTTTTTAAATTATTTTATGATAGTTTGATGGTCAAAAAAGTACCCATTTTTGGCCAATAAAACAAAATATCGGTCAAATCGAGTCGGAACATAGATCGAGCCCGCTTTTCGAAACCTAAGTCGAGCATAGTCTAAAAAGTCAGAAAAGTCAATGTCATAGGTCGAGCAGAGTCAAAACGTACCCATTAGAAGCCAATAAAATTAAATATCGGTCAAATAGAGTGAAAACCTAAATCAAGCGCAGTCAAAACGTAAGTCGAGTGAAAACATTTAGACAGTTAACTTTTTTATTAAGAAAGAAATATGAATTAAAAGAAAAAAATGCCGCAAGAGGATAAGACAAAAGCAAACGCAGAATTAATAGTGGTCAAGAAAATTTTTTCATCGAGGTAGTCAAAATTAGCTAGAAAAAAAACTTTCAAAAATCGCATTGCACCATATTTCCTTTAAACCATTTTACCCAGTTCATCAGCATTTCCAGATTGAAATCCGCGGGACATTAGTAGTCGCGGGTTATTGGCAAAATAACATAGGACTCTTTTGCCTTTTCCCCCCCACCTGCAAATTTTTACATGTAAATTTGTTGACCACGTTGTTCGATTGTTATGAAAATTTACATACAGACTAATAAGGCCATGACAAACATATTTGGTCTTCATACTCAACCTCGTACAATCACTCGTTACGCTAATATATTGAAGTTCGGGTGAGGTGGGGGGGAGGGGGGGAAGTAAAAAGAGCCTAACATAGTCTGCACGTTGATTTGTGATTAATGAAATTGTCTACAGTTTTCTTTTCTGTGCTCGGATGGCCTCTTTTTGCTCCAGGCAATTTGTCCTGTGCTCCAATTCGGAGAGTTATGAGGGTTTGAATTTTTGTTCCGACTTTCGATACGAAAGTAACGGAATATTTGTGCTCGGGGTGGGTTTTTTTCTTTAGACAAATTTCGACTTTTTAACTAGCCATTTTTGACGAAACTTTTTTATATCATTCAAATGGTATTGTTGTCTTGAGCTTAAATTTGAAAAGATATTTCACCTGTGATCATTTTTCATAAAGTTATGAGGGTTTAAAGATTGCCATTTTGGCCATTTTGACCAATTTGGGACAATTAACGTGCGATATAATTCGCGCTATTAACGCGTAAGCGGAGATTTAATCCGTCTTATAAATCGTTCCAAATTGGTTGAACGAAGCTTATTTGCCATAATTGATTTGTTACAAGGAACGAAGTCTCTCTTTTTGTATTTTATATGGCGTGTGGGGGAATGATTTTCATAAAAAATTTCAAATTTTAGAAAAAAAAAATTTCGTTTAATTTTATTATTTTTTTTAAATGTTATTACTGCTGCTCCATAAACCTTGAAGGCAGTCGGAACATTCAGGGCTTCGCCCTGATACGAGCAGTCTTGTTTAAATTTGTGGTTTTACACCCGCTTTTTCCCATTTTTCTATTAATGCGTAGCTATTTACTGGCAAACAATATACTATTTAAGGTTTCTAGAAACCTACAGCAATATTTTTTTCGATAGAGTAAATACACAATCCAATTTTAGCCACACCGTCTGAAACATGTATGAAATATCTCGAATAAATTTTAATTCTGTTGAAAGTCGAGACAAAGCAAAATTTGATCAAGAAATTCGAAACATCTGAACTAATTGAGTCGAGCAACAGAAAATAACACTTTTTTTCCTAGGTCGAGATCGCCAAAATAAACCAAACAACCGAATTTTGGCCGAGAACTTCGATCAAGTAAACAATCCCCCTCCCCAATTGGTTAAGAGTGGGAAAGTTCAGTTGTTTTAAGGGGGGGGGGAGGTTGTTTTATGGTCTATGGGCCCATTCTCATATAAATTTCAATTCAAGGTAGAATATGTTTGCATGAAAGTTAAAAATTATTTCATTCTCAAAGACGAGAACCGAAACCTATAAGGTATGGAATAAGAGGTCTCAACGGATGTTATAACTTGCAAAATTAAAAACGCATGTTTATTTCTTTTTATCGAAACTTATTACAGCCTTTTTTCCAGTTTCAAAGTTCCAGCTTTTTTCAAGGCCAAGCATATGTATACCAACCATTGTTAAAGCGTCTCTGCTTAGGTGGTGTTGCATCTATAGGGCTGAAATGGGTTGTTTTTGTCCTAGTCTAGCGTGAAAAATTGTCATTATCATGCGTGTCCCAATTTTACGAGAAAAATCAATCCAGAGCTTTTTTCCATTTTTTCTGGCGACCGGTCGCAAAATTTAGATAAAAACGCTTGGTTAAGAACTGAATTCCTGCTTGATAATCTAATGCTAAATGTCTTCTGAGCTGGGAATTTGAATCGGTGTCTTTTGAAGTTTAATTTTCATGGCTCGATTTCATCCAGATAAGCTATATCTGAATTCCATTGCTCTATTATAACCCTTCACTACCTTTAATCGTTACCTCTGCACTTTTTTCTTGAATCAAATTGATTGGAGGCAATCAAAAACAGACGAATACAAAAGAAAGCTGGTTAGAACACGCGTGGAAGGCTCCGAGCTTAAGGACCAAATCAGAAGAAAAATTTTTAAAAGTTCTATTTTTAGTAATTTATGGAAAATAAGATCAGACTTTCCCTCCGATGTGAACAGCCTTGAGATATATTTTATTTATGGTGCCAATGTTATTAGAAACAATTTTCTAAGGATTGTTAATCAGTTTCAATATCATTTCGTTTCACGGTTTTTTGTCTCCGAGGAGCCTTTTCATTGCCGATTTGTTTTCTTATCGCCACCCAAATACTTTTATCAGATTCTAGGCCAGTCAACTGTTTAAAAGGTGATAAAAACCGGCACAAGTCTGGTCTGCACGCAATGCTCCGGATAATTCACAAGTCATTAATCTTGATTTAAGAACTTTTTAACAAATGGAAATTTTTCAATTCCCTCTGTTTCTAAATCGAACACAAATGGGCCGTGAAAACAAAACAAACTGCCGGAAGTCATAAGTTGACATTCTCTTAGAAAGTGAAAAGCGCATTTGGTTTACCCGTCTGAAAGGCAGCAGAATTTTTTCAGAGCCAACCTTCCGGCGCGGTTTTGCGCCAAAAAAGGTCAAATCAAAATATTTACACCTGATTATGAGTTTGATTATCAGCTGCTAGTAGGGCCGAACTTGTGACAAGTTACGAGCACAAAACTGCTTAAAGATTAAACGCCTCTCGAATTTTAGTTATACACTTTATTTTGTGTTCATAACTTGTAAAATATTAGTTCAACCTACCAGTTGATCCCCTGGCGCTTTCTTTCCCCAAAGACCTATTCAACCCGGAATGTGCCCGATTAACGCTTTCATGTAATGGTCTCCCACTTTTTAGGAATAAAATTTGGAGAGCCTAATACTTTACAACAGTTAGGCTATAAAATTTCCCTCGGATTGGAGATTTCTTTTTTTTTCTGTTGGAGAATTGTTATCAAATTAGATCTGAACTACTTGCAAAATAGTCATTCGAATAGACCTTTGGCGGCGTTCCAACCAATTCAATTGCTTGTATTCTTTTTCCTTCAAACCGCTGAGGGAGCTCCAGTTGACATTCTGTTGTGACAGTCTGGTTATGACATTTTCCTAATAACTTATCAACTCACAGGACCCTAGTTTGCATATAGTTCCAATTATATTTCACGCGCCCGCCAAACCACCAGATATACGTCAAGAAATCTAATGGCAGTATTGAAGCTTTACCTGTTCCTCGTGATATATTGTTACAGCTGTTTCGCTGGTGAGTAAAACGTATCATATTGGGGGAATGGGCTATTGGCCCGTTCTGACAAACCTTATCTGATGTAGTTTGTAAATGATAGGTCACTTTTTTGTTCAGTGTTTTATTTCATCATTCAACTTCTAATGACATAAATGACTAGAACATAGCCGATCCAAAGGATCCCCCTTTCTACTATTTTGAGATATGAATTTTTGGCTGATGGACCCTTAAATTTTTCTAAATACGCCTTAACCGCCAATATATACTAATTTTGAGGGGAGAGCGCGTGCCGAAAAAACGCGATTTTTTGGTTAACATTTTTCAAATTTCCTAAAAACGCTTTATTGGCTTGTTTTTCAAATTTTTGCCTGCGGTACAAAAAATTTGACCGAAGCTGGGCGTTTAGTGCTTTGGAAGAGGTCGGAAAACCAATTTGATCTTTGGCCAAAGCGGGGAGCTTTGGGAGAGCTCAGAAAACCAATTTCGTCAAACTAAACTAAAATAAAAAAGGCCGCCTAATTTTTCGAATTTTTTTAAAAATCCGCTCTCCCTCACATCCTAGAATATCCTAGATCCGCCCCTGAGCTGAGATAAAGTCATCCTGGTTTTGTAAAATAACTTCGACTAATCAGATGATCGAAACCAGACTTCGTTGGATCTCTAAAAAGTACATTGGCACGTCCCGGGCGAGGTCATTCATTGAGGTTCAGACGAAGAAATATTTTGCGAAGCTCAAGTCTGGTTATTAAGTTTGGACTTTTTTGTAGTAGTGTAAAAGTTTTTTGAAGACTCAAGCACCGTCAAACTTATGTGAAAACATTTACGGATCTTGTTTATTATCTCATACCCTCCCTACCGCTCACTCTTTACTGCAAAAATTGGGGGGGGGGGGGGGGTAGTCATATCGTCAGACAGTGAGAACACCGGAGCTACCACTGATTAATTTATCGAAGGTCATAAATTAGGCTCAATAGTGGGAAATAAGAATTCAAGTAAGTCGCGGAAAATGGGAGCGCTGCCACGATAGTTCCTAAATAAATGGTCTAGAAAGTTGTGGAAACATGCATAACAAAAACAACCGGCAGTAATGAACTCAATCACGAATCAATTCAAACAAATACCCTCACTCTTTACTGCAAAACAAGCTGACGGTTGGTTTCAATTTGATGAAAATTTGAAAAACAAAAATTCTAACTCAACGAAACCATGGCTTGCTTAGCTAGCATGTGAACAAAGAAGACCTGCTTCTAGAGGCTAAGAAAACTGCAGAAAATGTTGGAGGAAGAAAAAATCAGAAGCTAGTCCATGAAGATACCATTTTGAAAATGCAAGTAGAACTAAAAGAAGCTCGTCTGCAACAACAGAAGCTACAACATCAATATGAAACTATCACAAGACTGTAAAAAGATGTAGAGTTTTTCCGAAAACAAACTGAAAAAACAATTGACAATTTACTAGAACAAAAACAACAAGCAGAGTATCCGACATTTCAACAACACAAAGACAAATTTCAGCACAATTTCGTCCCTCGGCTAACAGAAAACCGCATAATATTGGAGAGCTCATTCCAAAACATTAATCAACGGGATATTGGGCCACTAGGCAATGCTTTCATATTCATCGGCTCCTATAAACGACGTTAATATTATTGTTGACAGGTATACTTATGGGGAAAAAGTTGGAACTCTTGCTATGGTTGTCGGACATATCTGTATTGATCGGGGACTAACCAGAAAAGATACTTGTGAAAAACTTCGTAAGAATATTGACAAAACCATTGAAAAAATCAAGCCTCATAGATTTGCAGTTTGCAAAAAAACTCTTGTTATAAACCTTTTTTTGGCAAAGATCAAAACAACACTGAAATAAATTTTTTCAATTATGCTCTGGAAAATATGTGTTTGGAAAAAGATGGTACTTTTCCCTGGTGAATACTGAGTGTGTGAATACTAATCTAACAGCTACTAACAATTGTGAGGACGGAGTGCACCCGAATGCTAGTGACGTTCAACTACTAGTGAAAAATCAAGGTGCTATTTTTCTGAAAACGGTCTGCCATTTACATTGCTTAAACTAAACCGCGAAAAATAGTTCGCAAACCAAAGTGCGTTTAATTTACAATTTTGACAGTCAGTTAAAGAATTTGCATTTTTGCCGCTCTTTCAGTTTTTCGTGTTTTTAATCAGGAATTGAACAACAAACTTAACCCTTTTTTGCAAGCGTTTTTCCCTCAAAAATTCTTCCACTAAAGGAAAAAAACGCAAACAAAAACTGGTCTTATTTATATCTGTTTATACAATTGTATTATATTTACTTTAAATTTTTGCGTATCGTAAAAAAACTCATGTTAGTCCTCTCAGGAGACATTGAAGAAAATCCTTGTCACTTTTATGGCCTGCAAGAGTTATTATCTTCTGAACAGTTTTCGAAAACTGAGGGTTAATCTAAAACAGTCAAATTTTGCTCGGTAAATTTCAGGAGCGTGCAAAACAAACATCAAGAAATTTTCGATTTTATTGGTGATGTTTCGATGAACCCTATAGGTATAGCAACAGAACCATGACTCAATAACAAAACAGTAGGAAATACTATTTTAGGCTATAGGCAAAATTTTGTTCATCTTCCATGCCCCGAATGGACAGGTCTAAGAAGAGGGGGATTTGTTGGAGTCTGGACTACTTTATCATTCAAAATGCATGTTCGTAAAGTTCTCATGACTGCTGATAGAAAACTTTTTGAGTCATTATGGGTTGAAAATGAGTCATGAAGCATGCAACATATTCGATTATTGTTTCGTATTGCTCAAGAAAAAACCTCTTTCCGTACTTTTTCGACGAAATAGGTGGGGAATTTTCTCATAGGTTTGCTTCAAAAATGGAAGTTTTTATATTTGAGGATAACAAAATAGATCTTTTAAAACAAGACGAGTCAACAAACTTTCACGACTTTGCTGAAAACTGTGGTTTGGTTATACCAAACGCAACTAAACGATTCACGTGTAACAGATAAAAGTTTCTCACTTATCGACCATTTCTTAGTTTCCAAGAACCAATTAGTTTGTTTTAGTTCGTAAGAATTGCCATTCAACACAGATCTATTTATGCTTTTATATGAAACATTAAATTCATGCAAGCCAAAAATGAAATCTTTGAAATTGAGGCAAGAGATTTTCCTACCTATAATGGGGTAAAATTCATCTTGGAACTTGCATTTTTTGATTCGTCAGAAATGTATAAAAAATCCTTGGGATCGGAAAGTTTGAAACTTTTGGACTTATTTTTGAAAAACTATAAGTGCGCATGATCCATATCTCACAAAAACCATAAATAAAAAAATGGTAACCAAAAACAAAAAACCATGGATTGAAAATCCTTGATGACTCTGATAAACAATAAACATACATATTTTAAAATCTGGAAAAACATTGGTTGTGCGGTAGCGCACAGAGAATTCAAAAAACTTAGAAATATGATTAACAAAAAATTGGCAATTGCTTCACAAAAATACCACATGGAAAGTTTTCAGCAGCTTTCAAAAGTAAAAAATGATGGAATTTCATAAACAAAAGTAGGGAAAAAAGAGTAATCAAAAGTCAGTAACTATTAGCTAAGTAGATCTGGAAACAGGCCAAAAAAGATGTTGCTGGAATGGCAAATCATTTGAATCAAGTTTATTCAAAACTAGGTATTCTTAATGGCGAACATATACCCCGAAAAACAAAAGATCAAATTACAAATGCAGTTTTTGAATTTCGTAGCGTTACAAAAAAGAGAGATTTACGAAGAAATAGACAAATTATTGTTAATTAAATCTTCAGGACCGATGGGAATACAAGCTTTTTGCCTTGAACAAGGTAAACTTGCTATCGCAACACACCTCCAACTCGCCATAAAGGAAAGTATAATATAAAACAAATTTTCATCATTCTTTAAAAAGACATATATCAACCCTGTCTTCAAAAAATGTGAAACACAGGCTGCGTCAAATTATAGGCCTATTCGTGTGAGCGACACACTTTCAAAAATTTTTGAATGTTTGCTTTTGAACCAATTTATGAAATATCTCAAACAAAGTTCGTTATTAAACGTCTACTAATTCGGAAGTCAGAAAAACAAATCTGCGACTGATGCAGTAATGACTTTTACGCAAATGGTTTGTGAAAACATGGATCAATTAAGAAAATCAAGTGCACTTTTCTATTTCTTGCTGAAGCTTTCAATTCATTTTTATATGAAGTCTTTTTACAAAAAATTTAAAAGTATGCATTTTCCAAAAATGCATCAAATCTCAAAAACGAAATTTTGAGAGACCATCAACAATGTGTAAAACTTCAAAATCATTATTCTGGCTGGATAACAATTAGTCTGGCGCTCCACAAGGTGTGTTTTAGGACCAGTAATTTTCATTCTTCAAGTAAATTATTTTAAAAACCAAATCAAAACGAACTTGAAGTTAGTGCAATTTTCAGATGATACAAGTATCATTTAAATAGGAAACTCAATCAAGAAACTAAGAACCTCAATACTCGAAACGCTAGAAAATATACATGAATATTTGATAGAAAAAAAACCTGTCCTCAATCTTGATAAAACTAAAGTTATTGTATTTGGGGCGGAGAATTATTGAGAAAAACTTTTTATAGAGAAGAAAAGGCAACCGCAAAGGAACATCCCGGGTTTCTTGGAAATTTAGTGGACAAAAATCTAACTTTTTCAATTGAATTGAATACATTTATACACAAAATGGCTGTTGCGGTTAAGTCAATATACAGCGTTCGACACATGGTACCCTTAGAACAAGATTTATGCTTTTCAGATCACTAGTTTTGTCACATTTATCTTTGAGTTCAAAATTTTTTCAAAATCTACACATGTCTCAAAATAACAGAATAAACAGACAAACTATGTGGGGAATCAAAATGTGCTATCTCCGCAGAAAAAATGATCATGCACGAGATCTACTTCTCAAGTCTAAGCTCCTACCTGCCGAAGTTTTCATTAACCAACATAGCTTGACTA